GTCTAGGCCCGAAACATCAGCCTTCCTGCTCCTATGATGCTGCTTGACCTGCTGTGTTCATCCAGCTCTGCACCATGGTGAGTAACTCACCTCCTGACTCCCCAAAGCCTGCCCACAATCTACAAGTTACACGTCAGGAGTGCAAGGGAATATTCCCCACATGCCTGGATGAGATCAGCTCCAACAACACTCAAGAAGCTCAACACCATCCAGGTGAAAGCAACTCACTTAACTGATGCCTCATCCATCACCTTTAACATTCACTCCCATCGCCACTGATGCACAGTGGCAGTAGTGAGCACCATCTACAAGATTCACTGCAGCAACTCACCTAAGCACCCTCCTTTGACCTTTACCAACTAGAAAGACAAGGACACCAAATGCATAGGAGCACCACTGCCTACAAGTTCCCCTCCAAGCCACACACTATCCTGACTTGGAACTAATATCACTGTTCCTTCACTTTACTGTCTCAAAAATTAAGTCCCTTTCTAAAAGCAATGTGTAGGTACTGACACCACATGGACTGATGTGGCTCAATAAGGAAACTCACTGCCATCTTCAAGGGCAGTTAGGGATGGGCAATAAATATTGATGTAGGCAATTTGTTGCTAAATTGCAACACATCCCATGAAAAAAATGTTAAGAAAATATTAATCCAAATATCATGGGGACTGCATTCCCTTGCACCTACCACCATGGGGATAAATAAGTGGGGGGGGCGTCATTAAAGGTGTAGTAAAATTCACTTACAACATTATCAGGATGATTTTTGAAATTCCACTTCTGCTGGTCTGCAATTGCTTCTATAACAAAGCCCAAAACCCAGATTATCCATCCGGTATAATCCCGGACACACAAAGGCTGGTCCTTTCCTCGAGTGTTTAGAATTAGTGTGGGAAGAAGCGTTACAAAGATCCAAACACCTAGAAAACAGGAATAAAACTTTTGTTCAGATGGCACAACTGAAATAACCATTCAACAGATTCTTAGTTATGGCATTTTAGCGCCATCTAATGTTGTTTCACTGCACAGCATTGCTTGTAGTACTGCAGCCCAGATTGCAGTTTTTTTTAAATGCTGGCATTGTGGGATGGGGAAATGTACCAATGTGTCTGCTGATGGACATTCACAGATGTACCCAGGAAACTCAGTTGTAATCAGAATGATCAAAACCACAGTAGTGCTTAGATATGGCTTCTATGCTATCTACATTAACTCATGTTTTTGGCATACGACTACAACTGTACAAATTTCCAGATGAGAACACTGTTAAATTTTCCTATTTTGGATTCAACAATATTTCTGCTCTGCTACTTAACATCATGACCAAGTGATAAACTGAATTTCACTACCCAGCCATAGAACAGTTGACTAGGAGATCAGAAATCTCTACTCTTGCTGAAACAATGCCAGGGGATCTGCAATGATTACTAGTTGGAAGAAGGAAAAGCTATGGTTGACAACCTTGCTTAAAGAATCAACTTACATGGTTTTAGGAGTCCGGGAAAGTCAGCTTTTTTTTAAATAGGAATTGTGAGATAAGTTAACCCAGAGATGCTAATCATATCTTAACTCTAATCATGCCTTGCTTATTTATCACCTTGTTCTTGCTGATCTACATCAGTTCCAAGTCTGGCAATGCTCTATTTTAAAATTCTCATTCTCATATTCAAATTCTTCCATGACCTTGCTCTATTTATGTAAATTCCTCTAGTTGTCACAGGTCTCAGATATCACTGCACTCGTTCAATTCCAGCCTCTTGCACATCCCCAATTTTAAACGCTCAACCGTTGGTGGCCATACCTTCAGCTGCCTGGCTACTAAGTCTCCTGAAATCTCTCCAACTCCCAATCTCCTCCTTTAAGACCCTCCTCAAAACCAATCTCTTTGACTAAGCTTTCAGTCAACTGTCTCATTACCTCCTTTTGTGGCTCAGTGTTAAATTTGATCACTGATGTTCTTGTGAGGTAGCTTGGTGTGTTTTAATATGCATAGTGGTAGGCTTAAAAATGATATCTTCAAATCTGACCATTAAGGGTTAATCATCATGGCAATGAGTAATTGAAGGAAAGAGGGGAAAATACAAGAAAAACAGGCTGAATGCAACAACAGCTGGTTTTGACTGGGAGATAACCACATGACACTGAATTGTCTATGTGAACTGTCTTGTGCAGTTAGATGGGGCCACCTGGAACTATTTCTCAGCCTATTTTGAAGCTTGGAAAAGTACAGCAGTCATTTTGAAATGGGGATTCAGCATGCAATCTTAGATTCAGAATAGTATTAATATCAGGGCTTCACTCCACTCATGGGACTTTTCACCATCAGGCTGGGGTTTTCAAGACCAGAACCATGAAATCTTAGATAGAGCTCCGAGTATCACTGTCACCAAAGTCTCCAATGGATAGAAGGCAGTGTGAGATTCACTTGTTTGTATAAGTATGGATATTGTGGAGTTTAAGCTGATAGATTCACTCATTAGTTTGCATGTTTCTCTAATATACGGAGTCATGAGTCATACAACACAGAAACAGACCCTTTGGTCCAACCAGTCCACGCCCACTAGATTAAGCTAATAAATTTGCTTCGTATTAAAGTGCACGTGTCTTCTTGTATTCATTTTGATCATACCTCAAAGAACTGGTTAGGTACTTTAAGCCTAAGAATATGCTATGCTAGAAATGCTACATAAATGTAGGTTTTTGGTGTTAGCCAGCCCTGGCAAAATACAACATTGACTGTGTGGTGCATCTCCAATGTCAAAAACAATGTTTCTAAAAATCAAAGCTGTTCCATTTCTCCCAGGGTGATTCGCTTTTATTGAACAGAAGCCCCACTCTTAAAGAAGAATAATTTAATTTCTTCTGAGTCTGTGACCAGAGCTGTACTGTACAGAGTCCATCGCTGCCGCCTTCCCAAAGTACCTGCAGGGAAGGGGCACATGAATGGCCAAACCTTGGTTCACTCTGGTGACTGGCTGCAAGACCCACTGCCACCCATCCAGTTGGCAAAGGAAGGATATTCAAACACAGATGAATGGGGAAAACATACAGTCAATAAACTGATACTTTGAAAAAAGAAAGAAAGCCCAGAATTTTCAAGGAATCTTACCTTGAAGTGTCCAGTAAACAAAGAACTGCTTTGGGCTGGTGCGAACTTCATTGAATCGTCTATCACGGCCTTCCTTCAACACTCTGAAGAACAGAAACAAGCCTAGCCTGAAATTGAGAAAAGGCTCTCCGTTATATCTTAGACATGTCGCTCGTGTTTTCTTTACAGTCCATTCTTCTATATTAAGTTGTTGCATAACTGTTTAAAGTGATCTATACATTTTGTTATCGATGGCAAGGGGGAGGCACTCTTGACTAGAGGTCTTGCATCAGAACTAAGGGGAAAATATTTTGCCCTGAAACCATCTTTAAACGTTTTAATACAATATGAAGAGAAAGTTTGGGGCCAACTGGATCCAGAGTGAGGCACAGCAAGACTCCCGTGAAGAAACAAAAACAGAAATTGCTGGCGAAACTCAGCAGGTCTGGCAGCATCTGTGGGAAGAAAGCAGAGTTAATGCTTCCAATCTGGTGACTCTTCATCAGAACTGTTAGCAGCTAGGAAGAAGTGGTATTTATTCTGAAGAAGTAGTTGGAGAGGGCAAGGTGAGTGGACAGGTGGGGATGGAGCCCACAGAGAGACAGATGTATGAAAGGGGGAGATAAACAAGGAGATTATGAATAGTAGGCTGGGACAGAAGAAAAGCTGAACAAGTTAAAATGAGAGCTAGGGTAGAAGAGAATGGGTGAGTTTTACTGAATGTGACCTATATAATGGGCCTAGGAGAAGGTGAGAATGGGTGACTGTGCTAAAGGCAACCCATGTCATAACAGGACTGGGTGTTGGGGTGGGTAAAAAACATAGAAGGATGGAATCAGGCTCTAAAGTTATTGAACTCGATGTTGAGTCCTAGAGGCTGCAGGGTCCCCAAGTGGAAAATGAGATGTTGCTCTTCGAGCTCATGCTGAGACTCAATGGAACACTGCAACAGGCCTGCAACAGAAATGATGGCCTAGGAAACATGGTGGTATGTTGAAGTGGCAGGCAACTGGAAGCTCGGGGTTATTTTTGTGTAAGGGTTCTGCAAAGACGTCACCCAGTTTGTGTTTCCTCTGTGGGGGAGAGCACACTGTGAGCAATGAATGCAGTAGACCAGATTGAGTGAAGTGCAGGTAAAGCACTGTTTTACCTGGAAGGTTTGTCTGAAGCCTTGGGTGCTGAGGAGGGAGGAAGTAAATGGACAGCTGTTACACTTTCTACGATTGTGGGGGAAGGTGCTGTGGGGGTGTGAATAGAGGTTGGGAATGGAGGAGGAATAGACATAATTTCCCAGAGGGAGCACATACAGAATGCTGACAAAGGAGGTGACAGCATTCTGTATGTGTCTGTTCATGGCATGCCACCGGAGGTGACAGAAATGGCAATTTACAATCCTTTGGATGCAGAAGCTGGTGGGTGTCAAGTGAGGACCAGAGGGACCCTATCATTGTTGTGGCAGAGAAAGGAAGAGACGAGGGCAGAGTGTGGGAGATGGGTCGGTCACAGCTATGGGCCCTGTCAACCACGGTAGCAGGGAATCGTCGGTTTAGGAAAGAGGTGGACATTTCTGAGGTCCCCCTGTGGAAGGTGGCATCATCAGTACAGATCCAATGGAGACAGACAAACTGGGAGAATGGGATGGAGTCCTTACAGGAAGCAGGCTGTGAGGATGTACAGTCGAGGTAATTGTGGGAGATGGTGGGGTTGTAATGTATATTGGCGGCCAGCCTATCCCCAGAAATGGAAACAGAGATGTTGGGGTTTTTCTTCTGTCCTGCTCTGCTATCCATAATCTCTTCATTTACTTACCGCTTTCATATCTTTGTCTCTCTCTGGGCTCCATCTTCACTTATTCATTCAGCTCTCTCATTGCCCCCTCACCTCCCCAACTTCGGCTTCAGCAACATAAGCTGGAACAACTCAGAGATACCCACACCCCTCTGGAACATCCCTCCCTTCCCCTTCCCTATGACTCAATCCTTTCTCCTGACCCCACCATTTGTTGGATATTTATGATCCCTTCTGACCTCCCGCTCTCTGATGCTGAACGTTCTGTACTCAGCGAAGGTCTTAGTTTTATCCCTCTGCACCCCCACCTCAACAAATTTCAGGCACGACTAACGTCGAACTCTTCTCCCGTCAAGATGGGAGCTGGTCACTCCTCTGCCAACTTAGCCAGTGCCAATGCTTGGAAAAGTGCAGGCAAGAAAACAGCTTGGGCAGAAAATTTCACGCCAAATCAAACACTGGTTTTTGAAATATGTTTTTAAAAGTATGAATCAATCCAGTTTCTTAAACCACCTAGAGTAGTTTTGGAGTCAAAATAAAGCATGCAGATACCAGCTCAAGTTTCTCTGCTGAATTCTGCTCTTCTGCATTCTCACCTCAAGCCCCACACGGTTACCAAGGTACTCTGTATTTTCTGTCGACAGTAGCTGGTGCCGCTCCACCTGTAACTCAGGTGAGTCAAGAGGATGAACGTCCCTGACCCTGTAAACAGGTGAACTGTATGTTACAGAATGGAACTGCAGAATGTGAAACAGATACTTAAAAAGGAGAAATACTGGGAATAGCCTGCAGATGCTTTTTGATTCAAGCGAGAGAACTGAAAAGCCCACTTCACCGTTAAGATTTGCTCTTTATTAGTATCTATGCATTTTTCTTCAACAGTATAACTGAGAAATGGTTTGTGCACTATTTGAGTTTATCCTCCACCCAGCAGTATCCTAATCCCATGTACCTGCTCTATCCCCATATCTTCATATCCTCTTTCATTCAACTACTGATCTAACCTATTCTTTAAACATCGATATAGAATCTTACAGAACAGCTGCATTCAGCCCGTCATCCCCATGCTAGCTCCTTGGTAGGGCCATCCAATTAGTCCCACTTCCCTGCTTTTCTCCTCCCAGAGCTCTTCACACTTTTCCCCATTAAGTATACATCCAAGACCCTTTTGAAAGTTACCACCTAAACTGCTACCTCCACCATTTTAGACTGTGGTGAAAAAGAAATCTAATTTCATCCTATTGGTGCTTTCTTTCGCCATAAATCTGTCTTCAATTAGTAACTCTTTTTTGCTGCCTTGATTACAAACACTGTCATATAAATAATTCAAAACTGCTCAATTATCCCATATGACCATAAGATATAGGAACAGAATTAGGCCATTCAGCTCATCGTGTTTGCTCCACCACTCAATCATGGCTGATATGTTTCTAAACCCCATTCTCCTGCCTTTTCCCTGTAACCCTTGATCCGCTTACTAACCAGGAACCTATCTACCTCTGTCTTAAATACACTCAGTGACTTGGCTTCCACAGCCCTCTGCATCAATGAGTTCCACACAGTCACTACCCTCTGGCTGAAGAAATTCCTCCTCATCTCAGTTCTAAAGGGTCATCTGTGCCCTCAGGTCCTATTCTCCCCTGCGAGTGGAAACATCTTCTCCACATCCACTCTATCCAGGCCTCTCAGTGTTCTGTAAGTTTCAATCAGATCCACCCCATATCCTTCTCAACTCCATCGAGTACAGACCCAGAGTCCTCAACTGCTCCTCAATATGACAAACCCTTCATCTCCAGAATCATTCTTGTAAACCTCCTCTGGACCCCCTTCAATGCCAGCATATCGTTTCTTAGATATGGGGCCCAAAACTGCTCACAATATTCCAAAGATAGTAGGAACTGCAGATGCTGGAGAATCTGAGATAACAAGGTGTAGAGCTGGATGAACACAGCAGGCCAAGCAGCATCAGAGGAGCAGGAAGGCTGACGTTTCGGGCCTAGACCCTTCTTCAGAAATGGGGGAGGGGAAGGGGGTTCTGAAATAAATAGGGAGAGAGGGGGAGGCGGATAGAAGATGGATAGAGGAGAAGATAGGTGGAGAGGAGACAGACTGGTCAAAGAGGCGGGGATGGAGCCAGTAAAGATGAGTGTAGGTGGGGAGGTAGGGAGGAGATAGGTCAGTCCAGGGAGGACGGACAGGTCAAGGGGGCGGGATGAGGTTAGGGCCTGAAGGCCCTCCGCTTCTTCCTATCCCGCAGGGACGACCAGTCCCCCTCCACTGAGACCCTCATCTGCTTAGCCGAACTCATCCTCACCCTCAACGACTTCTCTTTCAATTCCTCCCACTTCCTACAGACAAAGGGGTTGGCAATGGGTACGCGCATGGGCCCAAGCTAACCTCTTTGTAGGTTACATGGAACAATCCCTTTTCCATACCTGCACTGGACCTAAACCCCACCTCTTCCTCCGTTATATTGATGACTGTATCGGCACTGCCTCGTGCTCCCACGAGGAGCTCGAACAGTTCATCCACTTCACCAACACCTTCCACCCCAACCTTAAGTTCACTTGGACCATCTCCAATACCTCTCTCTCCTTCCTGGACCTCTCTGTCTCCATCTCTGGCAACCACCTAGAAACCGATATCCATTTCAAGCCCACCGACTCCCACAGCTACCTAGAATACACCTCCTCCCACCCACCTTCCTGCAAAAATGCCATCCCCTATTCCCAATTCCTTCGCTTCCGCCGCATCTGCTCCCAGGATGAAGCATTCCACTCCTGTACATCTCAGATGTCCTCGTTTTTTCAAGGACCGCAACTTCCCCCCCCTCAGTGGTCGAGAACGCCCTCGATCGTGTCTCCCGCATTTCCCACAACTCATCCCTCACACCCCC